ACTTAGCAATGAAGTTCCCATCCAACAAGGGGCAGATCCTTACAATCCATGCCGATCAGAAGGCTGCTCGAGAATGCTATTTTGCCAGTCTACGCGTATCTCCCGTAGAAGAAAGGCAACAAAAATCCAAGAGAGTTCATGCTGTAACCCCTTCGGCATCAGGCGAATCTGAAGCATGGGATCTCGATCCGAGAATGAATGACGAAGAGCGCGTCGAACCGATTGATGAGAAGATCCAGCTACAACTCGGCATACTTCCAACCCAAGTCACATACATCGGCGCCGATATGTCCAAGGAAGATCACTCAGCCTTGAGCCTTGTGATCAATCGGAACAAGGACCTGTTTGCATGGACACCATCCGACATGCCTGGCATAGATCCGAATGTTATGTGTCACAAATTGTCAATATGTGCAGAAGCACGACCGGTTGCTCAACGCAAAAGAAAAATGGGAACCGATCGAAAAGTGGCAGTTGAAACCGAAGTGACAAAGTTACTTGAGGCCAGGTTTATCCGGGAAGTTCAGTACACTACGTGGTTGGCAAATGTAGTCATGGTAAAAAAGCCAAACGGCAAGTGGAGAATGTGCACTGACTATACGAATCTCAACAAGGCATGCCCAAAAGATGCTTACCCACTCCCGAACATCGATCGGTTGGTTGATGGTGCATCGGGTCATAAGGTCCTCTCTTTCCTTGACGCCTATTCGGGATATAACCAAATCCGAATGCATCCCTGTGATGAAGAAAAGACGGCTTTCATCACTGACACAGCTAATTATTGTTATAGAGTAATGCCTTTCGGGTTAAAGAACGCAGGAGCAACTTATCAGAGATTGATGAACAAGATTTTTCGACGCCAGCTCGGCAGGAATATGGAGGTATACGTCGATGATATGGTTGTCAAATCCGAAGGCATCACACAGCACATAACTGACCTCTCCGAGGTATTCCAACAACTCGGCAAATTTGACATGCGGCTCAATCCGGATAAGTGTGTGTTTGGCGTATCAGGTGGAAAATTTCTTGGCTTCATGCTCTCGGTGAGGGGCATTGAAGCCAACCCTGATAAATGTCGAGCGGTCATTGATATGAGAAGTCCCCAAAACCTCAAGGAGGTTCAGAAATTGGCCGGACGGCTCACATCTCTTTCAAGATTTTTACCATGTCTCGCCGAGATTGCCAAGCCTATTATCGGTTTGTTAAAGAAGGTTAAGAAGTTTGATTGGTCCGTCGGTTGTGAAGAGGCCTTCAAGGAGTTGAAGCAACGTCTCGGCTCCCCTCCTGTTCTCTCTAAACCCGATCCGCAGGCGGATATAGTGGTGTACTTGTGTGTATCAAACGAAGCCATAAGTGCCGTTATTGTGCAGGAAAACGGCGAGCAACGACCTGGACGTAAATTTACGTCGGACATGCCAAGGTCCGACGTAAAAAGTCATACAAAATTTAAAAAAAAAAAAAGAAAACAAGTGTAGCAGAACGGCCCGTTCTGCTTGGAGAACGGCCCGTTCTGCTTGGAGAAGGCCTGTTCTGCTTGGAGAACGGACCGTTCTGCTTGGAGAACGGCCCGTTCTGCTTGATAAACCCAGGACTGCGTCTCCAAACCCAGAAGGCCTTGTACAAATTTCTGCTCCTGTCTGCAGCTAGATAAACATTACGATACGTTCGAACGGAATAAAGAAAGTAGGGAAGAAGATAAGAAAGGAACCTTCGAACGTAGGAAATGAGCGAAGAACGGGAACGAAATCTTAATGCTCCCAAACAATGGCGTCACGTGTTGGCTGCGAAATCTGCACAAAATCTGAACGAAATCTGGTGAAGAATGGAGAGGCGTTACGTGTTGGCTGCGAAGCAGGGAGAGCGGGAAGGAAATCTGGTGAAGAAGGAGAGGCGCTACGCAACTTAAATTCAAAAATACAACTTTATTTACGTCGGACAACAAAGAGACCGCGACATGACAGAATTGAGTTTGACGTGCTGATTTTTTTTTTTTCCCTATTGCAGTGATCTGTCCAATAATCGTCTCAACGGATCTATTCCTCGAAGCTTCTCATATCCTCATCTTCAAAACTTGTGAGAAGATACTCAACCTGTATTTCACATAATATTTATTTAATTATTACATAACAATATCTTGAAGTTTTTTAAATAAAAGTCCATTTATGAGAAGCAAATTGCCATATAGAATCTAGACAAACTTTTGTAAAAGTGCAATTCTTTGCATATTGGATTGATTTTTTGTTTCCATTTCCAAATTCAGGTCACTTGCAAACAATTTACTGTCTGGCTCCGTCCCTGCTAGCATATGGCAGAACATGTCCTTTAATGAGAAAGCTAAACTTACAATGTAACTTCTTTATCTGGATTACTACTTCAGTTCCAAGGAATGTTGACTTTTTGCCTTAAACTAACTAGTATGTTGATTATATTGTTTTCAATGTAAATTCATTATGTTTGTTGTATCTTTGCAGTGATCTCCATAACAACTTATTTTCGGATGTTTTAGGAAATCTAACCCCCCCGGAAAATGTTACCTTGAGGTATTCTTATTACATATGTTTGGTTAACTTAAAGATCATGTAAACACATGATCTGATTCTCTCTCTACAGTTGATATCATGTTCATAATATTGCATACATTTCAATTTTTAATTCATGTTATTCATTTTTACTATGAAAAATATTGTCACAATTATGCTTTGCCTTTGCTGTGGCATAAATTTCTTATCATTTTTTTTTATTTTCCTTGAAGGCTTTCTGGTAATCCTATCTGCAATAATTCTAACATACATAGTATTGGTCAATATTGTGGACCTAAAGAAGATAAGGCAGAACAAGACTCAACAAACTCAACAACTGGTTGTCCGATTCAAGCTTGTCCAGTAAAGGCCTTTTATGAATATGCCCCATCTTCCTCAGTTCAATGCTTTTGTGCAGCACCTCTAAGAATTGGATACAGGCTGAAAAGTCCAAGTTTTTCTTACTTTCCTCCCTATAAAACTAGTTTTGAACACTATATAGTTAAATCCTTAAACTTAGACCACGATCAACTATCAATAGATTCATATGCTTGGGAAGAGGGGCCTCGTCTTAGAATGTATTTGAAACTCTTCCCTTCCTATAATGATTCCCATTCTTACATGTTCAATACAAGTGAGGTCCGTCGTATTAAAGGGTTATTTTCATCATGGCACTTTCCTCGCACTGATTTTTTCGGACCATATGAACTCTTGAACTTCACTCTTCTTGGACCTTATGAAGATTGTAAGTTTCTTAAACTCAACATGTTATTACTTATTGTTACCTTATAAAATGCATAACAAATTCATGCTAACTAGACCAATTATTATCATTGCATCCCACCAAATATGTGTACTGTTTAACACAACAATTCTAAAAGAAATATCTTTTGCTGCCAGTAGAAGTGATTAGCAATTTAATATGCACACTGCAAAGAAATAGCACACTATTAATATTTCTATTATTTTCATCTTCACATTATTATAAATTCTCTATAATTCTATACCATTTTTAACTTAGATATTGACAATTGGAAATCTGATTTAATCCGAGATGTTGCTTGAAAGTTGAAAATAATAATCTTTAGTTTTTTAATGGTATATGTCTTATGTTTTGTGACATTTTGTTTGTATACAAGTAGGAGAAGTCACATAACTGTCTATATCCTTCTTTATTCTCGGTTGTAAACTGCAAAGATGAGGAAATCTCTCCTCTTAAGTTCAAAGCAATCCTTGAATTAAAAAAAGTTAAAAAGGGAGATATCTTGATCCACAAAAGATAAATGTCAATGCAGAAGTAGTTTACCTTTGTTTCCATCTAGAATTAGCATTTACGATGATGATTCAGATAGAGTCACAGTTTTAATTTTTTGTAATTCGAAATTGGTTAATAAAATTTACTCTCTTTGCTGAGTTTCTATAATTAACTTTCATTTTATTGTTGTAGTACTTAATGATTCAGAGAAGAAAAAGATTGGCACGGGCATAATAATTGCGGCTGTAATAGCAGCAGTTGCTTGTGTTTTAGCAATATCTGCAATAATCATTCTCCTGATGTCTAGAAGACATAAGAAATACCAGCACAAGTTTTCCAGGAAACGGATGTGTAAGTATTAAGGCTTTCAGCAGATTATATCATTGTCGCATTATCTTTGAAGAAAGAGACTTAAATTCTTATTTCTTTTTGCAGCCTCTAATATGTCAATCAAAATAGATGGAATGAAAATATTTACTTACAAAGAATTGGCTCTTGCTACTAAAAAATTTGATATCTCAACTAAAGTTGGCCAAGGAGGTTATGGGAATGTCTATAAAGGCATTTTATCTAATGAAACTTTTGTGGCCGTTAAGCGAGCAGAAGAAGGTTCCTTACAAGGACAAAAAGAGTTCTTGACTGAGATTGAGCTTTTATCAAGATTACATCATCGAAATCTTGTCTCACTGATTGGATACTGTAATGAAGAAGGAGAGCAGGTATCTAACTTATAGCTACTCTTTATGTTTTCTATATCATTTTGTACCTAGTTTTTATTTGATAATTCAAATGTAAATGACAAAATAATTTTGTTCTTCATGAATCTGCATAATGATTAAACAATGCCATAGCATAAGATAAGAATGAACCTAACTGTTAAGTCGGATTGAATCTCTTAGTTCCTGAGCTAATATGCCTTCTGTTTGTCTTCTTTAGTCTGTTTAAGGCTTTAAGCCTTTTCTTATGTTTGTTCTTTCATTTGATCTGGTTTGGCGTGTCTGGTCTGTTAAGCTCACATGTAAGATGGACTTATCACTAATAAGGGGCAAATGAATTGAAGGCTGTAACAAATTTCTATATTGAATCTGTCACTAGATATTTAAGTTATGTCAATATGTACTGTAGTTCTTTTCTTGAAATTTTCCATTTTTTTTATATATTTAGAGAAGCTTATTTTTTCTTATCACAAATATAATCTGAGTCTAGACATAAATTTTTCCACATTAACTTGACATTTGATATTGATAACAGTATTATTCTCATATACTCTTTTCTGTTGGTTCAGATGCTGGTTTATGAATTCATGCCCAATGGCACCCTAAGGGACTGGATTTCTGGTATGAAATTGTTGGGATTTTCTGCATTAAAATTAGCAATTCTTTATATTTCAAATATATTGATACCTACTTTTTATTTGGTTTGTGCATAACTCTTTTCCTTCTTCATGTTTTCTTCTCTCCAGTTGTATGCTTCATTCATAAAAATATTTTATATATTCATGTAACTTAGAACATATTCTTGGTAAATGTTTAGGATTTGTATAATAAGTTTAATTTAGCTTTTCAAATCTGAACTTTGGCATATTGACTGAACTGGTGAATTTTTTATGGTTGATATGCTTTTACTGAATTGATTTGTGGAAATTTCATTTCGAATAGTTATAACTTCATTCTACTGAATACTTCTTTAAAGTATCATCTTTTACTTCTAATAGTGGAGGTAGTCATGTTAAACAAAATAAATCATGAATCATAATCCTAGTGTCAGTCTCCAAATAATTCATTACTGTTTTGTCATTTCATCCTAGGAAGTAGAGAACAAGACAAAATTTAAAAAGAGTTAATCACCTATACACTGTCAGTGTAAAGTTTTTTTACACTGACAATCAATCATATATTTTAATAGTGCCATGTCACTTGCTTATTTAATGAAATAAAAATAAAATAAAATAATTTAAAAGATATGATTAGTTGTCGGTGTAAAAAACTTTACACTGGCAGTGTATGGATGATTAACTCATTTAAAAAATGAAGAGAAATTTGCATGAAAGAAAGGAAAGGAAATGATAATATAGTACATAATTTGGGATAGTTGATGTTCTCAATGATACAATAGACATGTTCTAACTTAAAAGTTAATGGATATTGTGGTGACAGGTAAAAGTAAAAAAAACAAGGGAAGCCTAAATTTTACTATGAGGTTGAGAATTGCAATGGGTGCAGCCAAAGGAATACTATATCTGCATACAGAGGCTAACCCTCCTATATTCCACCGAGATATTAAAGCCAGTAACATTCTTCTGGACTCCAAGTTTACTGCTAAAGTGGCCGATTTTGGACTTTCACGGCTTGTACCATACTCAGATGAAGAAGGAACTGCTCCTAATTATGTGTCAACAGTGGTGAAAGGAACACCAGTAAGTTTGTTAAAGGAAATTAAGGAATAATTCCAATTTCAACATTTAAGCCTTGAAGTCATATTGAGAAGTTTTTAGTTACATAAATTATTCAACCTATACTTTTATGCAATTTCAGCAAATTAATTATGAGATTTTTTTCTGGATTGTCTTAGCTAACCCTTGTAATGTTCCTAACACACTCATTGTACTCAGTTATGTGTGAGCCACTTCATAAGAATTAGTCCCCACTTACCTTTTCTGAATCGCTCAAGTTCTACACAATGACTTCAAACTTTTGCCCTGCCATTTTCCTTTTAGTATCTAAATTCTAAGCTTTGCTAATGAGTATTTGAAGGGTATTGGTTAAGTAACATCATTTTTTGTTAAAAATGTATATATATAACCTGCGTACTCGAGACACTTGTTATTATTTTCCTTCTTTTTTTTTGTAGTTGCTGTCATGCAGTTTAAGTTTGTTCTTATTATTTGATATTGGTGGTGGAGTAATTTTGTGTCTATTTTTCCTACTAACATTGTAAAAAGCAATGCAGTCAGAATTTAATTATCACTTTGTAATTTGCCTGCAGGGTTACCTTGACCCAGAATATTTGTTGACTCATAAGTTGACTGACAAAAGTGATGTCTATAGCCTGGGCATTGTGTTTCTAGAGCTTTTGACAGGCATGCAACCAATATCACATGGGAAAAACATTGTCCGCGAGGTTCCTTTGTTTTTCATTACTCTCTACTTTTCTGTGTCTCATATCTGATCATAAAATCACTAAAAACACTGGACAGTGAAAATTATCATGAAATTTTTTATTACAATGCCAGCACAACGTGCTGAAAAAAAAGGGTACATTTGAATTCTCAGATTCCTATTTTTTTACAAACCATTCACAACGAAATACTAAATAAACAAGAGTTAATTTTGATGTTTACACAATGAAGTACTTAGGTTATGCTTGGATTGGTAATGGTACTAGATAATGGAATCAAATAGAAATTTGAGAGAAAGAAAATTAGGGTTAAGTAATGGTGGATCATAATCCATCTTCTTTTATGTTACATTTCTGTTTTTACAAGCCAAACAATGAAACAACTTACCCTTCTACTTCATCCTTTTTCATTTTATCTTCTATCACCAATCCAAACATAACAGGCTTGTTTAGTTCAGAGAAGGGAAGATAACTTTTTTCCCATTTGATTTAAAAAGGGAGTAGAGAGATTTTAAAAACTAATTTACTTTGTACCCTTGTAATTTTTGAATTTGAAAATATAAATAAAAATAATTTAGACACGACTTTAAAAGTAATAACTACAAAAACCAACAATATTCTCATGCATGACAACTCATAATTGAATAAAAACATAAAAATAGATTACACAGATAGTGTATTCTAATTAACATCTTAAGCAAACCATTATTAACAACGGTACACAATTTATATCAGGTTAACATGGCTCTACAATCTGGCACAATATATTCCATCATAGACAGCAAAATGGGTTTATATCCATCTGAATGCTTGGACAAGTTTTTAACTCTGGCCCTCAGTTGTTGCCAAGACAATCCAGAGCAGAGACCATCAATGCTAGATGTAGTGAGGGAACTGGAAAACATCATTGCAGTATTGCCTGAAACCGAAACTCTTTTCTCAGATGTTAGCTTAGACAGTTCTGGTAACATGGCATCTTCATCATCAGCATCAGGATCCCATATTACAAGAGAGGAACAACACATGTCCTCGTATGTGTCAGGAAGTGATCTTGTCAGTGATGTCATTCCCACCATTGTTCCTCGCTGATGCTGAACTATGCTAGTTTCCCTGACATGTTACAAAAAATGTAATTATATTCTTTTATACCTAGATTTTGATTAATGATAAAGGTAGGAAGTATATTAGGGACTTAGCTATCACTACACTTCCCATTTGGGACCTTGTAAATTTTGTACTCGTTACTGTAAGCACATCCTATAGAATTGGTTGTCAAAAGAAAAAGAGAATGATACAACAACTACATTTTTTTTTATTTTTTTTAAAAATATCTACAACCAATAGAGTCGGTGTGGTTTGTCAAAATTAAGGGAGTGTTGTTTTTTTGGTATTTTAAGGTCGATTAACTTTAAAATGCTAGTTTGTGTTGTGTTATAGATTAGTTTTACTCATTACTGCTAATATTAATGGTTAATAAACCAGTGATTAGTTAGTTACCTACAATGGTATCACGTTTTATTATTCTGTTATTTTCAGTTATGAGAGTTAATCATTCATTGTTGACTCTTGTGATTTATGGTATATTAGTTTGGGACATGTTATAGATGATATGATTAATTTAGTCTGATTCCTAAACCAAATAGAATTTCTAATGAATGAACAACTTGTATGCTAATTAGATAACTAGACTCTCTTTTAAAAGAGTAGAAAGAAGTTCTAAAATATTAGATTTAATTCTTTCATATGTTTGTGATTTGCATGGTTGACCTACCATGGTTGGAAATAGAATAGAAATTTTGTGATTTCATAGATGATTGTACTAGATATTATTATGTATATTTAATACATTTAAAGGATGAAGTCTTAGATAAATTTAAGATATTTAATTCATAATTAGAACTTCAACATGAGAACTTTATTAAATGCCTTAAGAGTGATAGGGGAAGAGAGTTCTATAATCCTAGCCTCTTTGAGTTTACCGGCATAATTACTCAAACAACTACTCCTTATTCCCACAGCTAAATGGTATAACCGAAAGAAAAAATAGGATATTATAACAAATTGTAAAAACCATTTATTCTATTCTATTCTAGCAAAAAGGATATACGAGAAGTAATGATTATAGCATTTCACATTTTAAGTAGAGTTCCAAATAAAAGTAACAAGATAAACCTCATTTGAGCTTTATAAGAAAGAAAACCTAATTTCAACTACTTAGGGTATATTTGGATGTTAGAAAAAAACAAGTTCCACATTGGTGGGTTTATTTTGTAGCTCCACACTTAGCCTATAAAATAAGGTTTAGTGGTCCCCTTAATAATCATCCCAAAATTTCTCTTTTTCTCTTTATCTACTTTGAGAGCTTTCTCTCAATAGTAGTATTCTTCTATTTTAAGGAGTGAATTTTAGAGTGAAGAGTGGAATAATTTCTCCAATTAGTAAATTTTTTTTTTTATATTGTTTATCGTTTCTTTTTGCTCTTATTTTCTCATCTTTTATTTTAATTGTGTGTTATTATGTTACTCCAGTACCTAACAATGGTATTAGGGCTAATAGGTTATTGGTATTATTTTGCTATGATGCACACTAGTATAGTGTTGGAGAAAATTCTTATTCTTAGTATGTTTTGTGGGTGTTGTATTATTTGATCTGCCACGTCAAAAAAGAATTATTCTTGTTGCTAGATATACAGTGTGGTAGTATGAAAGTGCAAATCTGGAAAAAGTTCTACCAAGAAAAAAACTTAGTATTTAAGTGTGTCCATTAGTGACTCACCTCTCTTTCTTGGAAACTTACCCGGTGTGTACTAGTTCACGGTCTATCATCATTGATCAAGTAGGTGATAAAATTCATGGTGGAAGTTGCATAAGTCGATTTAATTGAGAGAAAAAGAATATAAAAAAATCATGGCAACAAAATATGAGATAGAGAATTTTAAAGGGAATAAATTCTCCCTGTGGAAATTAAAGATAAAAGCAATTTTAAGGAAAGATAATTGTCTTGGTGGAATTGAAGGCAAACTCACAGATATCATAGATGAAAGGTGGAGAGAAATGGATGACAATGTTGTTGCTAATTTTCATTTAGCAATGGCATATTTAGTTTTGTCTAGTGTTGCAAAGAAGAAGATTGTGAAGGAGATTTGGGACACACTCATCAACTCTACACTCTTCAAATGAGTGAGTCCATGATAATAACAGACCACATCAACAATTTGAATACGTTATTCCCTCACCTTACAACATCATTTTTCAACATAATAGAAAATGAATGTGTAGAACTTCTACTTCAAAGTTTTCCAGATTCGTGTGATCAATTCATCATCATTATAACAAATAATAATGTCATTGGTCGTCTATCCTTTGAGGATGTTGCCAGATCTATTCTTGAAAAAGAATCTAGGTAAAAGAATAAAGAAGATAGGCTGGAAAATTCTAAACAAGCACAAGCATTAACAATAATGAGAGGGAGATCAATGGAATGTGATCCTAGTGGGAGTCAAAATCATGGTAGATTGAAATCTCAGGTAAGAAAGAATCTCAAATGCTACAATTGTGGTATGAGAGGGCATGTGAAGAAAGATTGTTGGCATAAGAAGAGTGGAGGGAAGAACTTAGAAGCATTAACCTCTCAAGGTTACATTGTGAGTACCTCAAATGATGTGAAAGTTTTGTATAGTGAAGCAATAATGAGTTTTAGAGGTGGGAAAGTTTTGTACAGTGAAGCAATAATAAGTTTTAGAGGTGGGAGACAACTACATGATTGTTGGATACAGGATTTAGGTGTAATTTAGCACATGACTCCACATTGAGACTAGTTTTGCACTTATGAACCTATCTCAGGAAGATCCATGTTCATGGAAAATGATCATGCCTTAGAAATTGCTAAAATCGATATTGTCAAATTGAAAATGTATGATGGTAGTGTTCAAACAATTCAAGGGGTAACATGTAAAGGGATTGAAGAAAAATTTGTTGTCCATTAGACAATTGGATGACCTCAGTTGCAATATCCACATAAAAGGTAGGTCTTAAAGGTAGTTAAAGGCAATTTCTAGCGATGAAAGTAGAGAAGATCACAACCAATCTATACATGCTTTTGGGAAATATGTTGCAAGAAGCAAATACATCAATTACAACAAGTTAAAAGGAAGCGACGATAATGTAGCATCTTAGATTTGGTCATATGTTAGAGATAGGCTTGAAAAATCATAATCTCCTACTAGGGCTCAAAATCTCTTACTAGGGCTCAAAACGGTAAATTTACCATTTTGTGAGCATTGTTGACAAGCAGATAACATAGATTGAAGTTTGCCAAAATAACTACGAGAAGTAGAGTCATATTTGACTTGACCCATTCTAATGTATGGGAATCATCGAAAGTATCTTTGGGAAGAGTAAAATACTTTTATCATTTATTGATGATTACTATAGGAGAATGTAGGTGTACCCAATCAATAAGAAGTTAGATGTATTTCTAGTATTCAAGATATTTAAAGAACAAGTGAAGCTTGAAACTGGGAAGAAAATTAAGTGCTTGAAAATAGACAACGGAGGAAAATATGTAGATGGTGATTTTTTGGCATTTTGCAAGCAAAAAAGTATTTTAAGGCAATTCACAGTGCCACATGTCTCAACAGAATGGTGTAGTATAGTGGATGAAAAGAACTCTCTTAGATAGAACAAGAACTATGTTGAGAACAGCGGGAGTTGCCAAATCTTTTTGGCCAAAAGTAGTTAAAACTACATGTTACATAATAAATCAATCATTGTCAATAATAATTGGTTTGAAAACAACAATAAAGATGTGGAAAGGCAAACCAACTGATTATTCTTTACATGTGTTTGGATGTCCTATACCAAGAAAGAACAGAGTTGGATCCAAATTCTAGAAAATGTATATTTTTAAGTCATGCTAACAATGTTAATGGGTATCGCCTATAGGATCCCACTACCCATAAGTTTATTGTTAGCAGGAATATAGTCTTTGTAGAGAATGAACTACAAAAGGAGCATAAAAATGACAGCATTACCAAAGACACTACTATAGTACATGGTGATATAGAAGAAGTCTAGAGAAGTTGACTCTTCTGAAGCAAAATAAGAGAATGAAGATCAAGAACCAAATGAGGCCAATAATGAAGAACTTCAATAAATAAGCATCTTAGCGCTCAGATTATATCATGGAAAGCCATAATGCATATTGTCTTCTAATTGAAGAAGGAGAACCATCAACCTTTCAAAAGGCTCTGAGGAGTTCAAATACTTCTCTATGGATGATAACAATGCAAGAAAAATGGAGATCTTACATAGAAACAAGACATTGGAACTTGTTGAGCTTCTTAAAGGTCAAAAAGCCATTGGGTGTAAATGGGTCTACAAGATCAAATGAGATGGCAATGATCAAGTGGAGCAGTATCGTGCAAGATTAGTGGTTAAAGGGTATGCTTAGAAAGGGGGCATTGATTTCAATGAGATATTCTTGCTAGTTATTCGATTGACCACAATCAAAGTTGTCCTAGCTATATGTGTTGCATTTGATTTACATTTTGAACAATTTGATGTAAGAATGTTTTTCTTCATGGAGAACTTGAAGAAGAAATATATATGCTCCAACCAGAAGGCTTTAAAGAAAAAGAAAAAGAAAACTTGGTTTGAAGGTTGACTAAATCTCTATACGATCTAAGGTAGGCATTGAGATGTTGGTAGAAGAGATTTGATTCCTTCATTATTAGCCTTGGACACAACAGACTAAGTTCATACCATTACACATACTACAATAGTTTTGTGATAATGATTTCATTATTTTGTTGTTATATGTGGATGGCATGTTGGTGGTAGGCCCCACAAAAAGATCAAATCCAAGAATTGAAGGCACAATTGGTTAGGGAGTTTAATATGAAAGACTTAGCACCAACAAACAAAATTTTAGGGATGAAAATTCACCAAGACAAAAAAGATAGGAAGATTTGATTTTCTCAGAAGAATTATTTAGTGAAAGTCTTACAGGGCTTCAACATGCAATATTGTAAGCCAATTTCTACCCATTTCCTGTCAATTGCAAATTATCCTTAAGTATGAGTCCTAACAATAAAGTGGAGAGGAAGGAAATGCCTCAAGTATCATATGCATCAGTAGTGAAAAGTCTTATGTGTGTCATGATTTGTACAAGACCAAACATTGTACAAGTAGTGGGAGTAATCAGTAGGTTTATGGTAGATTTTAATAGAAAGCATTGGAATGTATTTAAGAGGATCCTTAGATACATCAAAGGAACTTCAGATGTTGCATTATGTTTTGAATAATCAAAATTTATTACAAAGGCTATGCCGATTCGAATTTGAAGGTGATCTGGATAAAAAGAAATCTACTACTTATGTGTTTACACTTATTAGAGGGGTAGTAAGTTGTTGTACAAGTTACAGACGGTTATGGCTCTATCTAGTACAAAATTTGAATACATGCTAGCTACCTAGGCATGCAAGGAAGCATTTTGGATTTAAAGGCTAATGGAGGAACTTGGGCACAAACGACATAAGACCATTTTGTATTATGACATTCAGAGTGCCTCGCACATTGTAAAAAATCCAACCTTTCATTCCAGAATAAAGCACATAGGCATACAAGATCACTTTGTTTGTGAAGTAGTAGAATAAGGAAGTGTGGATATGCAGAAGATTCATACCAAAGATAACTTAGCAAATGTGATGACAAAGTTGGTCAATGACAAGTTTACGTGGTGTCGATCCTCATATAGCCTATAAGAAACATAAGCAACATGGAATGACAAAGAAAGATTAATGTAGGAAGGAGTTGGGTGAATATATGATTAGCTTAATCATAATCTTCAAGTGAAAGAATTGTTAGAAGAAAAAAAGACAAGTCCCACATTGGTGGATTTATTTTATAGCTCCACACTTAACCTATAAAATAAGGCTAATTGGTCCCTTTAACAATTACCTCAAAATTTCTCTTCTCTTTATCTACTTTGAAAACTTTCTCTTAGTAGTAGTATTCTCTGTATTTTTTTTCCTTCAGTAAAGTTTCTTCTATTATGTTTATTATCTAATTTTCTTATCTCTTATTTTAGTTGTGTGTTATTAAATTACTATGTTATCCAGCATTGGGAATTTATTTGCGTTGATTCAAACGAAAAATCTCTCTTTCTAATGTATAAAAGTGTGAAGCAAATTGTAGTTTCTTTTGGTTTAACTTCTGTTTGAGAGGCTATGAATGTCAATATAAACACACATAGTTTAAGCTTTTTTCTTATAAAAATGTTTATTTTAATAAAATAAGTATTTTTTTAATTTTTTGTTGTATTTGTGTAAACTTTTTTTTTAATAAGTAATTTTCTATTTTTTAAGAAACAACTCCTATCTACTTCATAAAAAATTACTTTTTATAAAAATCACTTCTGTAGAAAACTATTTTTATATTTAAACTAACGAACCCACGACTGAAAGTTGTTGTTTAATGGCAAATTGACAATACGACCCCAAACTTAATCTCTAAAGATCTTTGATTATTCTAGCTCTGCTTATGAGTTATGAGTTTCAATTGCTTCTTCCTAACCACCATTGCCTTTGAAGATTTTCGCTCCCTCTTTACACTAATCTTAATCTCAAAAGCATCTCTCATTACAAGATAATAATAATTCATTTGTATTTTAATCTAAGTCTAAAAATTTGACAAAAAATAGAATTATAATATAGTTTCTATTAAAACCACTCTTTAATCAACCAGTAGAGTTGTTCTATTAGTGAGAAACTAGATAGAAGTAATAGGTTTGATTTTTATTATTCTCGTTGTAAATTTATGTTTACTGATTAAAAACACCTTTAAATATGTTTATTTTGAAATAATGGGGACAAACTATTACGAGTAGCTAGATAATGCTATTTTCTGCGTTCTATAAAACTTTGGAAATGAATGGACCGAAGATGACGAAAAACAGTTGTCATTGAGGCTAATGGTTTTGAGACTTGGGACGCTGGCTGTTGTTAGTTTAGATGAGAAATTTTATAAATTTTAAGGAATTTAAAATTTTTAATATTTGAGTTATATTGATTTTAATTTTTATCATTCTTAAAATATTTTATTTGGATAAGTCAATTCAAATTTTTTAAATTTTAAATTATTAGTTTGGATATGATAATTTGATTCTACCATGATAAAATAATTTTAAAAATATATTTGTATGTTAATATTTTTAAATAAAATTTTATAAAAATAAATATTAACCAATTTTTAAATATTTAATAATTTTAAAAATTAATATTAGATAATATTTAATAATTTTAAAAGTATTTTTGAACATTCAATAATTAAAAACATGAAGAGATAAAAGATAAAAGATAAGAGATAAGATAAAATATATAAGTGAAATAAGAAAAAAAATATGAGAAATTTCAAATTCTATTTTTTTTGAGAGAATTTGAAATTCTACTATTTCAAAGAATTTGAAACTATTTCAAAAAATTTCACAAATGCTTAAATTTCAAAAAAATTTGTAAATTCTCCATCTAAATAAAATATTTCATCTCAAAGAATTTAAAATTCTTCAAATAAATGAATTACTCCATTTAAATTTTTCATTCAAACACACTCTAAGCATCTGGAACTGTCTTTAGCCACTCATAGTGTGTATTAGTTTTCACATTAACACACTTTCTAATATCTATTTAATTATTGAATCCAATAATTTTGAATTCAATGGATGTTTAAAAATTCTCAACTATAAAATAAACACGTTCATAGTCATTGTAGGAGAAGAGCATATAACAAATTATAAAGCTATTAAATAATTAAGCATAAATAAATAAATAAAAAACACAGGACTAACTACAATAAGTCAATTTAAACTAATTCATGAAAGACCACTTTATTCATAGGCTCAGATAAATGCCGCCCTTCTATACTATCACATTTGCTTTAACTCACACAAGTTGTCTCAACCTTTTTATTTTCAATGGGTGTGGGATAAGCATTTACAAGAAAAGAAAAAAAAACAATTATAAAATAAGAAAATAAGAAGAAAAATAAAATTAGTTTCTTTATAAGCTAAAAGTAACTTACGAAAAATTAAAAGAGGTTTGGAGAAAATATGAGAGAACTCCAAATAACTAATTTCATTTTAATTCTTCCTAATTTCTTTTTTTTTTTTTCAAGTGTTTTAACATACCCTTATTATTAATGATGGTTTTATAATTAATTCAACTTTATAAAATTATGAGGTGAAAATTGTCTTCGATTATATATTACATTTGACTACATGATTAAATACATATGTGGATGGTTGGATAATTAAAAAAATAATAATGATTAATATATAACATTTTAAGAATGTAAAATTGTGTCTAATTTAATTTTTTAAAACCAACTTTTAATATACAGAACTTCTCTCCAATTATATACTTTACTTTTCTTATATTATTAGTGGAAGTAAAATATCTAATAAATATGATGTGACGAGCTCGTAGTAAGAGCCGCCACTGCTATCAGGTTGCAAAGTCCGCTCCAAGTCAGCTAGAAATAGACGTTGGGCTCACTGTTTTAAAACCCGGATCGTCTCGGCCAGTCGGACCGGTTGGACCGGGAACCGGTGATCCAGCCGGTCTGAATCTGAAGTTGGATCGGTTATGCAGTCGACCCGTTTCAAACCGGATTGAACCGGTCAATTTTCCGGTTCAACCGGTGAACCGGTGGGTCAAACCGGTTCAACCACTTTTTTTTTTTTTTAATTTTTAAGGGACCATAAATTACAAAAATAATAATGAAAATTGAATCTCTTAATGAAAAAGCAAGGAGTCTTATTAAATATAACAATGACTACTTGTTCTAATATATTTGTTTGCAATATATACAACTTAAATAACTTTTATAGTATATTATTAATTTTAAATTATATATTTAATAATGCAATATCTATGTAAATATTACATATATTATTTTCTGATATTAATTGCAAGCATATTATATATGTACATATTATTTATATTTTTAATTTGTATTAATATACCGTTTAACATGTAATTTTTTTATGTATTTTTTTACAAAATAAAAATAAAAATAATTTTAAATAAGATAGAAAAATTGAAATTTAAAATAAGATATGAATTTATTAAAATTTATAAGTATAAAATATATTTAATATGAATACTTTTTAATAAAAATAAATAAAAATTGAGTCATGCGGTTCAACTAGTGACCCACCGGTTCAACCTTTGACCCACTGACTCAGTACTTTAACCGGTTCGATGACCGGTCCGAATTTTAAAACTATGGTTGGACTTGATTGTTTTAGAAAGATTGGACAAGATACTATAAACTAAAAAAAAGAAAACAAGTCCATAGAAAATTAGGTACTCATACAACAGTGGTGAGTAATAATTAGTTATGGTTCATGGTATAGTTTCTACAGAAAGGGTCACAACTTGAAAAAAGTGGACAAGGAAGTATGCTCGAAGTTTCATAGTGGGTTGTGTTCACATTCAGCGCAGGTTGTGTTCACATTCACAGCAACTTGCAGTATTATACACACGAAAAAATATTGAACGTGGAAAGGTGGTAGGTGAGTTTGGAAATGCCAGTGAGACGGCTAAAGCTAGAATAGATGCACTATAAATTATAAGGAAAGCTTCAATTTCTTTTGTGTAGAATAATTAATGCCAAGCTTACTTTATTGAATATATTCTATTTTTTTAGATAAATAATATATCATTACTATGACAAGTATACCGTGACTGGACTTTATATATACGTGCTAATATATGTAGTTAGAATCATCAACCATAGAAAAAAGAAAAAGAAAAAAAAAAAGAGTTCTCATTTCCCAAGTTAATCAATCAAGCATGGATTGCTTCACATCACAAATTTCAGTTGTGTTGCTACTCTTGCTATCTGCAATGACATTCCACAATGTCATTTGTAGCGTAAATATGAAGCTTAGTTGCAACGAAAAGGACCAAACTGCACTGCTAATGTTCAAACAAGGTGTGGTAAATAATTCAAACAAGCTCTCCTCTTGGTCCAGTGAAGAAGATTGTTGTACATGGAAAGGAGTCCAGTGTGATAACGTGACAAGAAGAGTTACAAGACTTGATCTGAATCAAGAATACTTGGAAGGTGAAATCAACCTATCGCTGCTTCAAATTGAATTCTTGACTTACTTGGATTTGAGCTTGAATGGATTCACAGGTCTAAGTTTTCCAAACACCCTCAACAAATCACTACTCACACCTTCTAATACTTATGCTAACTTCTCCAACCTCAAGTACCTGGACTTGTCCTTTAATGAAGATCTTCATTTGGATAATCTTCAATGGCTTTCTCAACTTTCTTCATTGAAATGGCTCAATCTCAGTTTGATTAATCTTGAAAATGAAACAAACTGGCTTCAAACCATGGCCATGCATCCTTCCCTTTTGGAGTTGAGATTGGCAAGTTGTTATCTAAACAATATCAGCCCTTCTGTCATGTTTGTGAATTTTTCTTCACTTGTGACTCTTGACCTATCTGGGAACTATTTTGACTCTGAATTACCTTATTGGTTGTTTAATATTAGCAGTGAAATCTCCTATATTGACCTTAATTTCAATACTTTGCAGGGTCAAATACCCAAGAGTTTGTTAAATCTTCAAAATCTTAAATATTTAGGATTGGTTAACAATGAACTTACAGGTCCTATTCCAGATTGGTTAGGGAAACATGAACATCTGCAACATCTTGGTCTAACCGATAACTTGTTTTCTGGTTCCTTTCCTTCAAGTCTAGGAAATCTCTCATCCTTGACCAAATTAACCGTTAGCTCCACTTTGTTGACTGGCAATCTTCCAGACACCATTGGCCAACTTTTTAACTTGAGGAGTCTATACATTGGAGGTTCCTTGTCAGGTGTTCTATCTGAAAAGCATTTTTCCAAACTCTTCAATTTAGAATCACTCATCTTGAATTCAGCTTTTGCATTTGATTTGGACCCCAACTGGATTCCTCCTTTTCAGCTTCATGAAATTAGTTTGAGTAATACAATTCTAGGTCCTGCTTTTCCAGAATGGCTCTACACTCAGAGGACACTAGAAAGTCTAGATGTTTCTTACTCGGGAATTTCATCCATAAATGCAGATAGGTTTTGGAGCTTTGTAGGTAACATTGGTGCAATCGTCTTGACCCACAATGCAATTAGTGCTGACTTATCAAACGTCACTCTAAATTCTGGATATATATTCATGGCTCACAATAACTTCACAGGAGGGCTCCCAAGGATATCAACAAATGTTTCCATTTTTCATGCATCTAACAATTTCTTGTCTGGATCAATTTCCCAATTATTGTGCCAAAAATCGGGTAGGGGAAAAAACAGATTGAGTTACTTGGATTTATCAGATAATCTTTTGACCGGAGTAATTCCAGATTGTTGGGAGAATTGGAGAGGTTTGGCTTTCCTTTTCCTTGACAGCAATAAGCTAGGTGGTGAAATTCCTCCATCAATGGGTTTGTTAAATGAACTCATTGAAATGAATTTGCATAATAACAACTTGTCTGGGGAGTTTTCACTAGACATGTCAAACTTTACATCATTGGTGTTCATCAACCTTGGAGGAAATAATTTTTCTGGTGCTGTACCAATGAAGATGCCAGAGAGCATGCAAGTGATGATACTCAAGTCCAATAAATTCACTGGCAAGATTCCACCACAACTATGTAGTCTCCCTTCTATACTACAACTAGATCTTTCTCGAAACAAACTTTCTGGATCTATTCCTCCTTGTGTCTACAACATTACTTCCAATGATGGTGCAAGAACAGGTCATTTTCAGTTCACTCTTGATTTGTTTTGGAAAGGTCGAGAGATGGTGTATCACGACACTGGAATATTGAGAAATCTAGACGTTTCATCAAACAACCTGTCTGGAGAAATTCCACCAGAACTTTTTGGCCTCACTCAATTGTTGTTCTTGAACTTGTCTAGAAACAATTTCATGGGAAAGATACCAAGCAAGATTGGTGGCATGAAAAATTTGGAGTCCCTTGATCTCTCCAACAATCATCTTTCAGGGGAAATTCCTGCAGCTATCTCTAATCTGTCTTTCCTAAGTTATCTCAATCTTTCATACAATGATTTCACTGGACAAATTCCACTAGGGACTCAGCTTCAGAGTTTTGATGCATGGAGCTATGCTGGGAATCCCAAACTTTGTGGACTTCCCTTAACAAAGAATTGCTCTAAGGAAGAAAATGATCACAAGGCAAAGCAAGGTGGACCAAACGGCTCTGAAAATGACTCACTCTATCTTGGAATGGGAGTTGGATTTGTTGTTGGCTTATGGGGAGTTTGGGGTTCTTTGTTTCATAGGGCATGGAGACACAAATACTTTCGGATACTGGATCATATTCTAGACTCTATCTATGTGTTTGTAACTCTAAAGTTAAATAAGTTTCGTGAAGTAAGATCAAGTTCTAGATGAAGTAAAAGTGTTTGAATGAGCTTTTTAGAAAATAGAAGAGCTTGGAAAAGTGGTAATGTGAAGGCACTTCAATAACTCATTTTGTGATTGGATGTACATCTACTTAAATGCTTATCTAAATTAAGCAGTGTTTGTCATTTGGTTGTAATGAAGTTACTAAAACGGACATACATAAAAGGTTATTTATTTTGAATATTAGTAAAAAGTAATGAATGTTATTTGAGAGTTTTGCTGTAATGGTATGGTGATTTTCTAACTAACAAATTTAACATCGCAACAAAAGTTGGACAAGGAGGTTTATCGAACTGTCTAATCTATTGAGGCAATGAATGTAGTGTTTGATATGGCTATTGCTCCGGTGCCCTCTTATTTGAAGGGATTTTGGTGCCCCTCAGTACAAAAGTTGGGTTTTTAGGGGCAATAAGGTAAATTGATAAATTGATCAATTTACCTTATTGCCCCTAAAAACCCAACTTTTGTACTGAGGGGCACCAAAACCCCTTCAAATAAGAGGGCACCGGAGCAAT